CATCCATCTTACGCCCTTGCGCCACTTCCTGTAATACAAATAAAACTGAGTGGGTCAGGCTTGGGAGCCTGGTGAGCATATAGGGTTTTCAACCCACAATAAATAATTAAATTAATTATTATCAACCAACAATAACCCAGTTACCCATTCCCGTTATTCTCACTTTACGTCCCTAAAATAACTAACACAAGGGACCTAATCTAAGAATATTTTCATCGGGGTGACAACACATGCTGCGGGGTTTCCTCAGCAATATAAGTCAAATAAGGCAACCATGAGGGGGATGGAATACAGCGAATGAACACCCAAGTTCATTAACACCTACAGGTTATGAGCCTGCTAGCGTTCCACTGACTATCTAGAAAAGTCCGTGGTCGTCATCTAAATTCCGCTAGATGACTGGATCAAAACAACAACGAGGCCTCTCATCTGTTTATTACACACCAACTATCTACCCATGTTCTACCCAACATATTAGTAGATAAAAACATACATTTTTATACATATTTTCAAAACCTGTATAGCATGCTTGATCAATACATTTTCCATATAACAGATGAGGCACACACACATAACACGTATTTCATATAGAAATAATCATATCTGTAAGATAGAAGAAAGTGAATATACATTCACACACATAACAACAAAATATACACATAACACGTATCTCGTATAAAATACTTCATAGTTATACGTTATGAGAAAGTAACAACGCATTCACACGTATAAACGACAATAAACTTAATACCTCGAACCATACTTGTATTATTATTGCGTTTATGAAAGGTAGTATACACTCACTTGATCAGAAGATGATCGGACAGCACTACGACTTGCAAAAGTAGTAATCCTCAGCAGATCTGGAAGATCTCTACGAAAATCGAACTTCTCGCGGGCAGAGCTTCGGCTCGGAAACCGCACTTCTCGGGATCTTCGGGATCTCGGGACTCGCTTCGGGACTCGGGAATATTACCGGGGCTTCGGGGGTAAAAACGCAGAGCTTCGGCACAAAAACGAGAGGAAATTAGCAAATAAACCCGGACCCCTCGCATCCTATTTATAGGAGGCTGGAAGCCTCTCGTACGCGGGGCGGACATGCGTACGCGGGGCGTACGTGCCTCAGAAACGTAAGCGCATGCGTCATCCGAAGTGTCGACACTCTTCGGAGTACGCGGGGCGTACTCACTTACGCGGCGCGTAAGTCGGATCAGACCTGTGACTCGCCTTCGGATAATGCTTCCGAATTTTGATTTAAAAATAAATACAAATTAATTAATAAACTTCGGAAATTCATATCTTCTTCATACGAACTCCGTTTTCGACGTTCTTTATATCCACGGAAAGGTGAGACTACGCTCTACAACTTTCGTTTAGACTCCGTCGGCTAATTTTGACTTTATTTTTATTATTTATTTTTAATAGGCCGGGACAGAAACTTTCGTTATAAATTCATAACTTCTTCGTTTGACGTCCGTTCTCGCCTAACTTTTTATCGCTTTGATACTAACAACGAGATCTTCGATTCTCGTTTAGATCACTAAGGCTAAATATCGCTTTAACGTAAATTTCACTTTTTACGTTATTCAGCGTTGTCGGTTCTGTCGCGAAACTTCGATAGGTCATAACTTCCTCGTTATAACTCGGATTTCGGCATTCTTTATATCTTCTGAAACCTTGTTTCAACTACTACAACATTATCTAAAGATATCAAGTTTATTTTACACTTAAATTTTGACGCTTATTTTTATTCTTAATTAATCAAACCACATAATTAAGCAATTAAGCACAAATCACATAATACTCAAATAATACAATCTTATTATTTTAAAACGGGTTACAAAGGTTAACCTAGTCCATTACATTGCTAAAAATGGCAAGCCCAGAAACACAGGCGTTACAAGTTTCGCATCTTCACAGACCAGCGCAACCTCAAACACCTCCTCTCCCAAGTAGTTCAAACACCAGAACAGTATAAATGGGCAACAAAACTTCTTGGGTATGATTTCGAAATCATCTACAAGCCCGGGAAAGAAAACTTAGTCGCCGATGCTCTAAGTCGGATGGAGACACCACAACTACTGGCCCTTTCTACAACAGACCCCACCTGGCTCAGCGAGCTCCGACAATTTTTTACCACCCCCACTGGACTAGCGCTGACTACAACACTCCTCACTAAACGACCACGATGGCTTCCAGCTCCGCGATGGGTTAATCTACCACAACCAACGCCTCTACATTCCAAAGGAACCTTCCATCCGCCAACAATTGCTCACAGAATACCATGCTTCGCCCTTGGGGGGACACTCGGGCACCCTACCCACCATGAAACGCATCTCTGCCATCTTCTTATGGCCAAAGTTGAAGACTGATGTGATTGCCTTCATTCGCAATTGTGCTACCTGCCAACAGATTAAGTCCCCAACACACAAACCATATGGGCTGCTCCAACCACTTCCGGTTCCATCCATGGCATGGCAAGACATCTCCATGGATTTTATTACCCACTTACTTCTCTCTGCGGGAAAAACAGCAATATGGGTGATTGTCGATCGCTTCTCCAAGACAGCACACTTTATCGCCCTACCAACCAACTTCGGTGCAGTTACCCTAGCAACACTCTTCCTCAGCCACATTTATAAGTTGCATGGCATCCCTAAAAGTATCGTGTCAGATCGCGATTCCATTTTTCTTAGTTCCTTTTGGAAAGAGCTCTTTAAGCAGCTAGGTACACAACTTCGATACTCAACAGCGTACCATCCGCAAACGGACGGCCAAACAGAGGTCGTTAATCGATGCCTACAAAACTATCTTCGCTCCTTTGTTAGTGATGAACCCCGTTGTTGGACCAAATTCCTTCACCTAGCGGAATTTTGGTACAACTCAGCTCACCACAGCGCCATCGGGATGCCACCCTTTCAAGCCTTATATGGTCATCCCGTACCAGACCTCCATCAGTATCGAGATGGTACATCCGAAACAACCACTATCGACACCACCCTGAAAGAACACCAAAGACTACGTTCGCTCCTCAAAGAAAACCTTAGACGAACCCAACAAAGAATGACAGCATTGGCTAATGCACACAGGATGGACAAGGAATTTTCAGTAGGCGACATGGTCTACTTAAGGCTGAAGGATTATCGCCAGAAGTCGGTACATTCACGGGAGACCAAGAAACTCACCAAGAGATTTTATGGACCCTTTAAAGTCTTGGAGCGTATCGGCCAGGTTGCATACCGCTTGGCTCTTCCTGCGGAAGCCAAAATCCACTCAGTTTTCCACGTATCATTACTTCGTCAAGCTCATGGAAACCCCACACCGATTCCGCTACCCGAAATTACATCAGTAGCTACTGCGCAACCCAAAAACATCCTTCAACATAAACATGTTGGGAAGTCGATGCAAGTTTTGGTGGAATGGGACAATGCAGATGCAACACAGCCTACATGGGAGTCCTTTGCAGAATTCTGTCTCCGGTTTCCAGAATTTTGTGTGAACAATCCCCTCACGTCATCGCTCGAGGACGAGCTCATTGCCAAGGAGGGGGCAATTGATGCAAGCCCAAACAACAACAAACCAACAGGAGTCCAGGCCCAAGAGAACCACCCGAAAACCTGCTAGGTTAATGGACTAAAGCAGTACATGAGAAGAAGTCTTGGTTGATTAAGTCTTTCCTTATTTTCAGCTGTAGTTGCAAGGTATTAGGCCACGTTCAGATGCATGCATAAGGTCTTTTGACCATTTCCCATTCCTAGTTTCTAGATAGTTAGCAGCTTATTTAAGCAGATGTAATTTTCCTTCTTTTGGTATGAATATAAAAACTCAGAAAATTGCTCCATCCTTTGTTTCTTTCTTGGGAGATTCGCCTTCTCTAACAGGCTGCTATGATATTGTCATATTTAATAAATTGTAAAAAAGCTTTTTGTGTGTGTAAAGAAATATATTAAAAATTAAAATGAACATCATATACAAATATAAAAGACCTAAATAATATGTTTCATCGTTAACTAAGGGTTTCTGCTGCAAAAAGCAAACTCCTAGTTGTTTTATTAAACATTTCATGCCATTCATTAAAATTCAGGGTAATCATAAAAATGACTATATTTTATTTATATTAAATAAATAAATAAATAAATAACATATTAGATTTGGATTTGTGTTTGCCATTTATTGTAATGACCGTTGAAATCGAAATAAAGGCATTGCGGTTTTCGGACACTACATCAAGTCGGTTTCCTTTCTATTTGCACATTCCTCTCTAAAAAAAATCTCTCGCAACCATTATCCAAAAATTGTTCACATTCACCAACTTTCCTTGAAATGGCGGTGTGAAGGCAACCTGTCATTATGCCGTGACCATGTCGACTAAGAAGATGAAAATCATGCCATCCGATTAGCTTGTCATCAGGTTTAAAAGGGGCTACATGGACCAAGGGTGTTGTTAATCTAGTCATTGTCGTCTGATCGAGTTGTTGAAAGAGTTTGACTATGAAGGGACCGTAGCGGGCCGGTTAGACACAACTGGTTGGGGGTTAGGATCACCTTCTTGATTAGCTGGTTGTTGGGCGAAACGAGTTACATATCTAGGAGGGCTGGTATCATGGTTTAATGAGGGACCTCGAGACACTACACGGGCAAGATGTAGTGTCAAACTTATATCAGTGACAAACGGAATAGAGTGAAATCAAATTGTTTGTTATATTACTAGTTTGGTTGGTTGTGTTTCTAGATTCCTTGTTTTACTTACACGTTGTAAATTAGCTAGCCTTCCGCAAGAAATTTCGCATACTATGTCTTCCCCATTTAGAGAAAAAAAAAAAAAACAAATCACGGTGGATGCAAACTGCAAAGGACGTCACATACTCACATGACCTAAATATGAAACGTACTTAGGCTAAAATATCATCAAACGTTTGTGAGAAACCTAAAAACAAATATCAAAGAAACAAGAAATAGATTAATGTTGAAAAGTTGAGTCCAAATCTCCAATGGCAGGGTCACATGATGGTGCAAAAGCTGACCCCCTCATAATTAGCATATGGACCATGCTCTTGATATGGATATGATGGCACATAGGTTGCCGGTGGCAGGGGGTTTTCATAGCCATAGCCATAGTTGGTGGTGTCGTAATTAGAAGGCAGATACTGAATCCCAGGTGGCCTCCTGTAAGCACTACTAGTAACTGGGTAGGATTCATGCTCAGGCAGTGGCCTTATATCCCTCCTCCTGTAGGAGGAGGATGAGGGAATATGATAACCATAACCAAAATTATGATTATTATAATTATAGTTATACTTTGTGTGTCTTAGCTGTGGGTGATTGAGTTTTACATTGACGAGCTCCGCATGTTCACCTGTCCGCATCACTGCCTTGAGAAGTATGTTTGGATCAACCTCTCCGGATATTTTGAAAATATTCTTTTCAGCATCCCAGATCACCGAATACACTCCTACCATTACCATCTCCGTTGTTAAATCATAATCAAAAGTCAAAACCTAATTAATTTGATATAATAAATAGTAATACTATTTTTTGGCTGCTAACATAAAAACCTTACGTACCACTGATAGAACGCAACACCTCAATCGTCTTCATCATACACGACTCACACTTGGAGTGGACTTTCAGGCAACACTCCTTCAAAACAAAAAACCAAATTCATTAAAAACCATTGTTCGTCTAATTCGTATGGTGATTGCTAAACTACATACAGTAATTAATTAATTAACCAGATGGGATGAGTTTAATTACCATGTCTGCGCATGGCTCCATGGAGATCAAATCAAACAACACGAAACAGAACAGAGGGGTGGGTGAGGAGATCAAAGAAACAAGTTATATTTCTTAACTAGCTATTATTATAACGATAACAATCCTAGGTAGCTAGCTATCTTTTTATACGTATTTGGAATAATTGGTTCTCCAAGATCATTTCCATTTTTGTTTTAAGGAAAGAATCTAAGTAAATCGTGGTTACAATCACACAAGATCTTAAATCTATCGCAGAAAAAGAAGCTCTATCAGCTTCCAGAATAGAAACTAAATCAAACAATTGTATAAAAAGATATCGTCCAAAATCTATAAATACAAAATATATCGTCTTCCCCATTTTTGCATTCATGGTTTTAAAAAGATATGGTCATATCGTCCATGGCATTCAAAGTTGTAATTAGGATACATCGAATCTGTTTATTTGCTCTGTAGAGCTAGCCATATCTTGTAATCTGGTTTGTTCATATTATTGCAGAACTTCACCATTAAAGTGGAGGTTGAAGGTTCCTGGAGCTAGGAAGACAGTGAGAAAGGTATTTTTCTGCATCTCATGGAAACACGCCAAGCCCCACTTATTGACCAATTTTAACATTTCTAGTAAATGAAACAAACAATATCACATTGTAAAATTTGTGGAAACAATTAAAACTCTCATTTCCTTTCATTCCAGAGCCAAAGATTTTACACTCCTAATCAGATCAAATAAACATAATGAGACTAGGAATACGCAAAAAGTGTTGAATAACATGGTCTGTTACAAAAAATAAAACATATCGAGTTGACTCAGTGAGTACAAAATGAGTCGCATCCTTATTGAGGCTTGGATGGAGTTGGAGAGGAAGGCGGCTTCATATCAGGATACTGCATTCAAAATGTAGCAAAATAATTAGTTTGGTTGACTTTCCATCATTTTGCTAATGAAAAATGTATGATCATTTTACCATCGAGTATGGAGACAATGATCTGGACACGGGTCCCATAGATGATGTATTATGTTTGACAGAACCATTGTTGGTTTGTTTGCTTTCAGCTACAGAATCTATTTGGCTCTTCGCTTCACTTTGTTCGTTGATTGCTCCATTGTTATTTACTTGTTTTGACTTATTGACTTTTGTTTTGAGGTTGATGTGTACAGAGGGTGGGAGAAATGTTTCTTGTATTTCCTGTTAACCAAAGAAAGTGCATAACAAATTATAATGGGTTGCTTGGAACATTTGCGTGTTACAATTAGTAGTAGTTAAAGTATGGAGAAATTAACAACATGTTGCTCTAAAAAACTGATCACTGAAATATGAATTATCAAGGAAAAAGTGAATGATACCAGCCACCCGTTGTTGCCTCTAACTCCACCTCGGATAGCATAAGCCTCTTTGAATCCATTGTTGAACAATAACTCGGCTACCTTCATGGAGTTACCATCAAAACTACCTTACAAACAAAACAAAGGAATCATATACAGATCAAACTTCTCAGCTAAAGGAAAGATAAAAGACACAAGGGCAACACACTCGTTTTCTAGTGAAATGAAACAATATATACAAACACTTAATAAGGAGGGGATCAAACTTCTTATTATCTATCCATGTAGGAAGACCAATTTCAATTTGAATTAGGATTCATATACAACATATGTATATGTGCCAAGACCCTAATCATTACAAGATATTTAGTGCTACTTATGCATTTAGATTAGGTTCCAATGTGTGTCCTTCAAATTGAATTGCACATTTAGTCCAAATAACAAAGGATTTAACTTGGCCATTTGTTTATTAATTTTAACATACAAACACAAAGATTGGGATTAGTAGGTGCCAAGCAGTTTGTGAAGAAAGGTAAAGTGGTGGTGCTATAGTCTGCAATCCAAATAACTCTATGATTTTAAATGTCTGTTTGTATGCAAAAACTCACTTGTCAAGAGTGCAAATGGTGGTATTTGCAGGATCCCCGAAATTCTCTTTCACTTTCTTTACAAAACCCTCGTCATCCCCATCACGAAATTCGACCTGAACAGCATTCTTACTAAAAATCTTCAAATTGGGCGAGCCCAGAACCCTCAGAGTCTTGTTATCTCTGATATCTAATAGCTGTGCATTTGGGTCATCCTTAAGCTTTTTGAAAGCATCAAGAGCAGATATGTCCTTGTACTTTCGCAAGTATTCTTGAGTCGCAGGGATGACAAACAGCCAAATGAAAACAACCCCGGCAACAAAAAACGGATATCTGTTGAAAAAATCATCAATTGAAACCAAAATCGACTCTAGGTTGATTTTACTAGATGATTGGTCAATGGGTATTTCCTCAGAAGCAAATGAAGAGAGTGGAAATGGAAATCCCACAAAAAGGAAAGCCAGAGATTGGGATTTGAGGGTAGTATTGGTTGATTTGGGTTTTTTCTTGGTGAAATGAGAAAGGAATCGGATGGAATTTGGGGTTAAATGGCAACTAGTGAAAAGGAAAATGGGATTGGGTGTTTTGATTTTGTGGAATTTAGGGTTCTTTGGAGATGGTCGGGAAGCTGGGAGACCTATGGAGAGAGACTCCATGAGAGACAAGAGAGAATCAAGAAGAAATTGTGCAAAGCTAGAAGAGATGATAAGATGGATGGCGGGATGATAATTAACCACCGTAACCGTGAACGTACTTTAATAATTACAATAACATTATGGAGTTTTCAGTTTTTTATAAAACATTGACGATACAAAAATATTGTATTATTTAAAAAATCATATATAAACTATTTATATAAAATAAATAAATAAAATTTCATCATATTGATTCATTGTTATAATAAATAAAAAAATTCAATATAATATATACGTCAGAATTTTATTATATAATTTAACTTAATGCAACATAGGATATTATAGGAGAAAATTAATTAGGAGCATAATAATTTTTGTTTTATTTATTAAATAAATTATATTTTACTAGGACATATTATACTATTAAATTTATTAAACTATTCATAAAACATCATTATTACTAGTAATAAGGATGGACAGAGTAACAATTGAGTTGGATGAATTTTTAGGAGTATGGGCGGTACCGCGAGGAAAATCATTTCCTTTTTTACGATGTCGCATAAATCCATCCATCAGTGGTAGGGTTGTTGTAACACCCAAAGTTTCGAAGACCAAGAAAGGAAAGAAAACCCTAAGTTTAGGGGTCGACTCGGCGAGTCCAAGGAGGGACTCGGCGAGTCCGAGCGGGATCCGGGTCGGGGAGTAAGTGACCGACTCGGCGAGTCGACCAAGGAGACTCGGCGAGTCGACCAAGGAGACTCGGCGAGTCTGGTCTGTGCGAGGAAAACCCTAATTCTGGGAGTTGTATCCTATATAAAAGGGAGTTATGCCCCTCCCTCAGCCTCCATATCATCCTAGAGAAACTGTAAACCCTAGATTCGTGGGAGCCTCCATCATTTGAGAGAAATAGCTTTGGGGGAAGGAAATCTTGGAAGGGACTTGAAGATCAGGAAGGTGGCTTCAAAAGAGAGGTGTAGATCCGAGATCTACTTTAGTTTGTGTCTTCTTGGAGGTATTAAGCTGCCATTTTCCCTTCCTTGCATCTAGATCTATTTTGTTATGAGTTTTGGGGGTTTTATGGTTGATTAAGACCCATTTCGAGTGGGAAGCTCAGATCTGAAGTTGCTACTTCAGATCTAAATGTATCATGGCCTAAAGACTCATAAAGCATCAGTTGTTGGGTTGATCGTTGAGCCCCTTTGTCTTAAACCCGAGTTTATAGTATTTTGAGCCTAGATCTCCTCAGCCACACGTAAAGTTTGCCACTTTACGTAAGGAATAGACCTTAGAAGAGTGGATCTACAGTTTGGAGTCCATGCATGACTCAAAGGTCCTTTGCATGTATGTAGAACCGAATGGACTCGGCGAGTCCTTCGAGTGGACTCGGCGAGTAGCTTGAAGATGAGGAGGAACTCGACGAGTGGGATGAACAGCTCGACGAGTCGAATGAAGATGGGCAGGAACTCGGCGAGTTGGATGAACAACTCGGCGAGTTGGTTGGAGATTGTCGTGTGCTTGGCGAGCCTGTCCTTGGACTCGACGAATCAGGTCGCGTGGTCCCAAACCCTTCGAGTTAAGACTTGAGTCAGCAAGTCGAGCCAGGACTCAGTGAGTTGGACAGGACAAGACTCGGAAATCAGTAGACTCGGCGAATCAGTGGCTGACTCGGCGAGTCGAGTCGCGAACAGGAATAACTCTAAATATATGAACTCGGCGAGTCAGTTTGGTGACTCGGCGAGTAGGGTTGGCCTGGAAGGTTGAATGTGGCCGGGACTTTGGCATTGTTAATAGTTGACTTAGTTGACCATTGGAGGTCAGTTTGACTAAGTGTTACATTGATATTGGTAGCTCGAGGAGCTAGTAGAGCAGCAGTTCGAGACAGAGGTCGGGTAGCGGTCAAAGGGATTAGCAGCAGCAGTTCAGCAGTATCAGGTGAGTTTCCTTCCAGTAGGGACGGGTCTAAGGCCACAATGTCGGCCCGTTCAGTTAGCAGTAGTTTCCGGACTTCGGTCCGATGTAGTAGTTAGTATGTTTGATGCCTTCGTGGCTCAGACAGGATTTATGTGCTATGTGTTATGTGTTATGTGTTCCGGGCTACGGCCCGATGTAGTATGCAGTATATGTGTTCATGCTAGTTGATATGTTATGCTATGCTATGTTCAGTCAGTTCCGGATTTCGGTCCGATGCAGCTAGTTCCGGACTTCGGTCCGATGCAGGGGGCAAGGCCCCAGTTAGTCCGGACCTCGGTCCGATGCAGGGGACAAGGTCCCAGTCAGTTCCGGACTTCGGTCTGATGCAGCTAGTTCCGGACTTTGGTCCGATGCAGGGGACAAGGTCCCAGTCAGTTCCGGACTTCGGTCCGATGCAGTTAGTTCCGGACTTTGGTCCGATGCAAGGGACAAGGTCCCAGTTAGTTCCGGACTCCGGTCCGATGCAGTTTCCGGGCTTCGTCCCGATGCAGTGGGCAAGGCCCAATATGTGTTTATATGTTATTGTATGGTATGTGGTAGTTTGGGGGAGCTCACTAAGCTTCGTACTTACGGTTTTCAGTTTTGGTTTCAGGTACTCAGTTTTCAAAAGAGGAGCTCGGGGAGATTGCAGTGCACACACCATAATCAGTTAGCCTGGGAATGTTTGACTCTGATAATGATATTATGTTTTGAATTAATACTCGAGAATCTATGTTATGAATTATGATACAGTTTTTATAATTATGATTCTAGTAATGCTTTTAAAGAATATTTTTTTTGGTCGTGATTTTTGGGTCGTTTCAGTTGTAAACGAACTGAACGTCCAGCGAACCATTCGTGAACTGTTCGGCGGGAAGCTCGTTTATGTTCGTTTATTTAATAAATGAACGAACATGAACAAAAATTATCGTTCGTTTAGTTAAATGAACGAACATAAACATTGGTCTCGTTCGTTCATTTATGTTCTTGAACGTTCGTTTATCATGTTCATTTATATTCGTTCGTTTAAGTTTATTTATATTCATCTATATTCAATTATTTTTTATTATATTGCTATATTATAAGTTCGTTTATGTTCATATATGTTCAATTGTGTTTTTTTATCTTTGTTCGTTTATGTTCGTTTAGCATGTTCACGAACATAAATGAACGAACATGAACAAAGTAATTTGTTAAACGAATGAACATGAACAAGAAAATCTCGTTCGTTTATCCATTTGTGTTCGTTTGTTGTTCGGCTAACTTAAACAAACGAACATGAACAAGACCTTGTTCGTGTTCGTTTGGTTCGTTTACAGCCCTACTCAGTGAGCAAACTAAGGTCTCGTTTGATAGTTTCTGTCTGGGAAAATTTTCTGACTGGAAAAGAAACCATGTTGTTTGATTGTACATCTGATTGACTTTGCTGAATAATGAAAAATAATAATAATAATTCAATACAAAATAAATTTTAAAAAAAAGTTATTTAAAAAAAAATAATCTAAGAAAGAAAGAAAGAGGCGGTGTTTGATGCATAATTGTCTTTCCAGCTCATTCAGCCAGAAAGATATTATTTTGGGGCTTTCTGGGAAAGACATATTTTACCGGGAAAGATATTTTTTTGTACAAATCAAACAGTCTTTCCGGTCAATTCAGCCAGAAAAATTTGTTTGAACCTGGAAAGATGCATATCAAACGGGACCTAACTCGTTCCACTACTTCTTAGCTTAACTTTTAGTTAATTGCACTATATGCATCGAAACTTGAACCAAAATGTGTTTGAATTAGGAATAATAGATTTTAATGTGTCATTGGTTGGGATGGTGAAAATGAGGGAAGAGAAAAATATGATATGGTAGTGAGGTGACAAGTAGGTTCGAGTCGTGGGGTGGACTCCCTCAACTCTACCATGTTTAATGTTGATTTGACATTGTTGGTTACATGAATATTATGTGACTTGAATATTATGTGACTAAAAAGAATGTTTTTGAAAGAGTAATAATTTTTTTCCTTTATACAAATACCATCATTTAACTTAATAAACTAAATACCATTTTTTTAACATTTTAAAGATTTGTTATTGAGTTTGACATCTCTCTTTGTGTATGTGTGCGTAATTAGTGTAACTGTAACGTCCGGATCTTAAGGTACTTTATTTCTAATTGAAATTATCATTTTGAAAGTTGACACGGTGTGGTGGAGGCACCACCACGGCGTGGATAGGCGATAAGGATTCGTGTGTTTCATTTAAGTCACCATGGCGTGGCAGTATTGGCCACGACATGGTGAACGGCGGATATAAAAACCCTATTTTTCCGGGTTTGCTCCCTATTTTAAGGAATGATGACGCTAGGGTTTGCTCATCCTCAGCCTACATCAGCCCCCTCAAGCCCTAAAGAAATCCCTAATCATTTTCCGTCATTATTGAGCTAGTTTTGGTGTTCCTTGAAGCAAAAGAAGGAAGAAGAAGGAAGAAGGAAGCAAATATCAAGCAAGCAAGTCTCCATTCTTTACCTTGGCACACTTCTGGACCTTTGTAAGTGTCCAAGACTTGATTTTTATCATGTTAGGTTGCTAGATCTTGAGTTTTGTCCCATAAACTTCTTGTTCTTATTTGTTGGAATGGCGAGATGTAACATCCCAAAATTTAAAACCAAAAATTTTGTTTTAATTAAGTTATTATAAAACCAACAGTATAAGAAAACATCAATAATAACATATGATGTCAAACCAATATGTCAATAATCTAAGCATGTCATCATAAAACAATATCAAAGTATAATCCTAAAGATCTCATGTGCGGAAAATGTAACGCCCGTAGATCTGGGCTAGTCAATTTAGAGATAATAGGGGTCGAAAATGACTTTTCGACAAAATATTATTTAGAATAAATAATCTTAACCAAGTTTTATAATATGTCTCAAGGGTTCCGTACATATAAAGAACGCCGAAATCCGAGTTATAACGAAGAAGTTATGGCCCATCGAAGTTTTACAGCAAAACCGGCACGACACCGGGAGACGTAAATAGCGAATTTTTGATAAAGGACTTTTTAGCCTTATCGATCCAAA